GGCGGGGAATGTTGAGGAGTGGTGCCTTGATGAATATCAAGCCGATTTTTATAAAGATTCACCCGATCGGAATCCGATCGCTGGTGCGGATAGCATTATGGATATCGTAAAAAACTATAAAAATGTAAAAAGCCCTCGTGTGTTGCGTGGTGGTGATTACGTCTTCGGTGCTGATAGTATCAGAGTTTCCAAGCGTTGGAGGCTGGCTCCAGAAGATAACAAATACATCACCGGTTTTCGTTGTGTAAAGCCAGTCATACCTTAATTTTTCGCCCTTTCAAGACGCTATTCATCATTTGTAACCGCGTTTCTCGGCGCGGTTACAACGGTTCACGACTCAATACCGCCAATTCCGATGTGCCAGCGGTGCTCGGTTAAGTTCGTCCCAAATGAGTTTTGACATTACCGATTTTGATTATGAAAGTTCACCTTTGATTTCCGTTCTACCCGGGGTCCCCATAGCGAATGGCGTATGGGGCCTACAAGAACCAGTATCCACATATCAAACTCACGTTCTTTATAGCACGTTCAGAAATTACCGATTTAAATACTTAAACTTCATTAGGAGTGCTATGTCTATAAATAGATGACAACTTGCGTTATAAATACTTAAACTTCATCAAACCGCGCCTACTGGGCCTGGGAAAAGTTCCGTTGGCTCCTTGCTTACAGGAAACTTTCAATCTCCGAAGACGTTGGCAGTGAAGGAATTACGCCGACCTTTTGGGTTGCCAATGCCCCCGCAGCGTTTGCATATCGCATGATGGCATCAAGTCGGACTTTTTCAAGCGATGTAAGGTCGGTATGCGGCATCAGTTGGGTGAGCATCGCAGCAACGAACGCATCGCCTGCGCCAAGCGTATCCAACCACGTCAACTACAAAACCGTCACAAAACCTTCAGTGTTAACGTTCGTGTAATAACACCCGCGTTCCCCTAATGTGACAACGAGCAGCTGCACACCGAGTCCAAGATGCGGTTCAATGCCCATCGCCAGTCTACATTGCCTGTGACGAATTCCCATTCTTCCTCAGAAATTTGACGACATCCGCGTAGGCCATCACCTCCAGATCCAGTGTTTGGCATCGTCAGCGTCGTCCCAGAGCATCAAGCGCAGATTCGGGTCGTAGGAGAGGCGGGCAACCGCCCGCTTTTGCAGACTTAATCGCATGGAGCGGTCGCTTCTCGGCTCGGCGAATGACTGAGACTAACAGAGCGTAGTGGAACAGTTCCGCCGATGAATATAGTCGGGTCAATTCGTCGGGAGAGAGTTGGATATCGGCACCCGGTGGCGATAGAAGGTGATGTCTTTCATGCCGTCAGAACGCGTGGCGACAAAGGCTAAGGTCGTCCGAGAAGGTTTCGCCTGCGATGAGGTAGGCAGTGTCAACACTGTTTTGTTGGAGCGTTTCACGAAGGAAATCGCCGAACGCATCTGCCCGACTTTTGCGATAAATCCCATCACACCGGTTTGGACTAACCCCACGGCCACATTAGCGGGAGCACCACCGGGGGCTTTACAAATCCGGGGGCTTCAGCGAGCGTTACATCAGGTCTGTGGAAACAAAGTCGATGAGAAGTTCACCGATACATAAAGCTTTTGGCATAAGGATTGTTCCTTCAAAATGTGGTGCGTAAGTCTTGCGCTGTCTGTCTGTGCGGATCGGTATCCGGCATCGAAAATTTCTATGACATGCCGTGCATGCTCAGCGTGACAATCGTCGGTTTATCCTCGCGTATCCATCTACCAGTTGCATAAATACTCATAGACGTGCGATTCCTGAATGTTACGATGCGGTCCCACGACGTGCGGTAGTATTCCCTTTTGGTGCGTCAATCGGTTCGCCGTTAAGGGTGCTACCTCAATTGCGCCACCTGTTCCGTGAATCGCCAATCCGCCTTTGATTGCGTGTCCTGCCGCTGCACCGTAGATAAAGCCGAAGAAAGCATCACCGAAGTCAAGCAGGATGAAAGTGTTATCGTCCATATCGCAAGGGAGCATCTCGCCGCGGAATTCACGTTCCTTGACACGCACGCCGGAGAAAGCGGTTACGCGCTTCACAGGTCCGAGGATACCGGTCATCGTGTGTAGACCGTAAACGGTCATGTCGTAGAGCGGTCCGCCGCCCGGTTTGCGGAAATACCACGCCGGGTTGATATTAGAGAGCATATCGTCGCCCTGTCTAACAGACTCATTTTCGTGGTAACGTCCAAAAGAGGAGCCAGTGGCTGCCCACGTCAACGTTCCAATAGCACCGTCATTGATAAGTCTGCGGATCTCTTGGTGAATCGGACGGAGCATCTGCCCTGGTGAAGCCACCAATTTTACACCTTTGCGCGCAGCCGATTCAATCAGATCGTCCGCTTCATCGACGGTCGTTGTCATTGTTTTGTTGAAATGTGCGTGCAGACCGTGTTCAATCGCGAGTTTGCCCTGTTCATAATGCAAACCGATGGGCGATGCGATGCTAACGGCATCTACATGCCCGTCTGCTAAGAGTGCTTCGTAGGTCTGGTATGCGTGCGGAACATTGAATTTTTCAGAGGCGGCTTGTGCTCTGCCGGGGACGGGGTCACAGACAGCGGTTACCTGTAATCTATCTTGAACATCGTCCTGTGTGAGATGCGGAAGGATGCCACGTACAGCGATACTTCCTACACCGATGACACCGATCCTGACTCTGTCATTGGTTGCCATGCTATTTCCTCCAATTTTGGCTTTCGGCTTTCGGCTATCAGTAAAAATGTTTTCTGATAAACCAGAGTCATCTTACTGACTGCTGATGGCTATTCTATTGCCGCCACGATGTCTCGTGTTGCCATCCGACAGCATTTTTCAGTTTGTCGCAATTGATAAAGGATTGATGCCCCTGAAGCGTTCTCACTTTTGGAAGAAATTCAGGTTTAAAACGCTCCACCAATTCTTGAGAAGGTTCCAACGCAGAAGTATCATCTGCGTTGAGAAAATAGACATCGTGCGGAGGCAGCGTGTCTGCCTTTTCCATAATCAGGCTGTGCGCGCTGGCGACATCTTCGCTGCCTACCCAACACCAAAGCCACGGTGTCCAAGCGGTTATCGGTTTGGCGTTTTCTGCCATCTGCTGTCTCCGTTCTTCCGGACTGATACCTGCTGGACGCGTAATGTATGTTCGGATGCCGTAGGCGCGGGTATAACTTGCTAATAGATCTTCGCCACAGCGTTTAGAGAAGCTATAGGAATCTTCAGGGTAACAGGGGTGTTCCTCGTCTATCGGCAGATAATCTATCGGAATATGGGTTTTGCTGATCCGAAAGCCGTGTCCTAAAGCGCAATTGCTGCCGGACATCACGACTGTTTGGACATCTGCTTCAATCGCGGCTTGCATGAGGTAGTAGGTGCCGAGCATATTCGTTTTGAAGGTCGCGTCAAAGGGAATGCCTCTCTCTTCAGCACCTGCCCGTAAATCTGGATGATCGACGGGACCCGGTTGTGCGCCGAGGTGCTGGATAGCGTCTACGCCTTCAACGGCACGCTGGCAGTCCTCAAAATTGTTGAGATCCCCCTGAATAAAGGGTAAATGCGAGAATTCACTGGTGGCGTTCTGCGCGACATCAGCACTAGCGAGTGTTCCGCCGCCAATTCTCGGATCACATACGCGCCGAGCCTACCACTCGCGCCAGTTATCAATACTTTCATGGAAAAACCTTTCACAGAAGCATTCAGTTGTCAGTAATCAGCAGTCAGCAAAATAGCCATCAGCGGTTAGTAGTCAGCAGTCAGTGTGGAGTCGCGACCCGGAGGTCGCACCTACAAGAAAGATCTGGCTATCGGAAAATCAAAATTGTCTGAGAACTGAATGGCTCTGAATCTTTCAAAAATTGAGTTGACAGGTATGGAAGCGTCGTCTATGATTATGTATATTATAGCAACACCGCACATTTTGTCAAGTGAAGCGAATCTGTGGAGGAAAAATCGTAATGTACAACGCTGAAACACATTTCAAAACCTTATATGATACTGTTCCGAGACAGTTTGAATTTACGGCGACTACACGGGAAGGGTTGTTCGCATGGCAAGCCAATTTTCGTCCGAAGCTGCGAGAAATCCTCGGCTTGGATAACATGGAATCCGATTTGGCAGGCTATGTTCCGAAAGCCGAGCAGCTGGAAGTCCTGGATATGGACGATCACTTTCGCGAAAGTTGGTATCTGTGGGTAGAGCCGACTGTGCCGCTGCCGTTCTATCTACTCCGTCCGAAAACGATTGAAGGCAAACTTCCGCTGATTCTCACGCCGCACGGACATAACCATCCACATCTCTACGCTGGCATTGCGCATACGGAAACAGAGGAAGAACATATGCTGGAAGGTGAGCGCGACATTGCACGGCAAGCAGTCGTGGAGGAAGGCTATATTGCCATCGCACCAACGACGCGTGCGTATTCGGCGAAACACGCACTGATGCGAGATAAACAAGCCAATAATACGCACTCTTGTCGGCATCAGTTGGTTCATAGCATACTCGTCGGGCGTACCCCGATTGGTGAGCGGGTGTGGGATATGTCGCGCCTTATCGATTGGGCGATAGGAAACTTACCCATACGACGTGAACGCATCGCGATTACCGGGCAATTCTGGTGGTGGCACCGTCTCGCTTTTCGCCGCGGCATGTGAGACCCGTATCGCAGTTGCGGTGCCAAGCTGCTATTTCTGTACATTTGAAGGGAGCATCGGCATGATCCGGCATTGTGAATGTAACTATGTGCCGGTGTCATGCGGCTTGGAGAGATGTATGATGTCGCAGGCTTAATCGCGCCGCGTCCGTTTTGTGCGATTGCAGGTCGAGATGACGGGATTTTTCCGATAGATCACGTCAAACTGGCTTACGAACGCTTGAAAGCGATCTATACGGCGGCAGGTGTCGCGGATAGGTGTGAACTTTTTATCGGACAAGGTGGACACCGTTATTACAAAGCGGGGGCGTGGCCCTTTGTGCGGCGGTATTTTGAGAAATAGGCGAAACTACCGCGAGCCTTTTTTAATTGCCCACAACGTTTTCAAAATAATTTTAATATCCAAAACAAGGGACCAGTTTTCAACATAGTGCCGGTCATAGGAGATCCGCTCTTCAAGGGAGGTATTACCCCGCAAGCCGTTGACCTGTGCCCAGCCAGTCATACCAGATTTGACGCGCTGCCGCGCCAGATAGTGCGGAATTGATTCACTGAACGTGTCAATAAGGCCTGACATCTCTGGTCTCGGTCCAACGAGACTCATATCGCCTTTGAGGACATTGAAAAATTGGGGCAATTCGTCCAGACTCCAACGTCTGAGAAATTTTCCGAGAGAGGTCTGCCGTGGATCATCGGCTTCTGCCCAGACATGCCCAACTCTTTCCTCAGCGTCGGCGCGCATAGAGCGGAATTTGTAGATGTTGAAGGGCTTTCCTGCTCTGCCAACCCGTTCCTGCCGAAAAAGTGCTTTTGCCGGGTGATGTCAGGCGTATAATGACCGCGATCGTTAACATGAGCGGACTTAACACTATCAAGGCGAACACGCTGAAGACGATGTCTATCAGACGTTTGACGATCCCGCGCACGCCCTGCATCGGTGTCTCCCGCAATTGTAGCACTGGTATACCCTCAAAAAGAGTGATAGCGGTACCACCGCCGATAAATTCGGAGAGTTCGGGTAGGACATTGATTTGGACAGGTACGCCTTCGCAGGCATGGAGAATTTGGAGGATAGTTTCATTCGGCACCGCTGGTGATGAAATGAAGAGCGTGTCAAGTCGATATTTTTGCACAAGTGCCAGTATATCTTGACTTTCACCAAGGGACGGCACCGCCGAATCATCGGCATCTACCTTTTCGGCGACTATACCGACCAGTTCGTATCCGCTATTCGGTTTCGCTTTTAAGACGTTGATAAACTTTTCGGAGCGGGCATCATAGTTTCCGATGAGTGCGACTCGACTTACACCGACACCTTGGACGTGAATCGCCTGACGGAAACGGTGAAGAACGAGTCGCCCCAAAGAACAGCAGAGAGACTGAAACCGGACGCGAGCAGCATGACCCAACGCGAGTAAGCATCGTGATGATAGATGAAAAAGAGGGCAGCTAACGTGGCAATGAGCGCGATACCAGCGGCTTTGCAGAGCGTCCAGAACGCCGAAAGGGAGGCATTGCTTTCCGGTCGATAGAGTTTCAATGCCTTCAGCGTCATTCACCAGATAATCGCCATCAGTGGGATGAGTCGGAAATAGTCGTCAAGGGGTGGGGTGCCGCCTTTATGTAACGCGAAGGCTTCAGGTGTCCAACCTGATTCAAACCGAACCCAATACGCCACAACAATTGCAGTGGCGACGAAACAGAGATCAAATAAAACTGTAAGCGCGATTAGCAAATGATCGAGCGTTTTCTTGTTCATCGACTGAATATAGGCTGGAACTTGCAAGCCCATGTTGAGGCATGGGCTGCATCAAGTTTCCCTCTCGTATTTATTGGACATTGGCTCTCTGAAAACTGGTTCAAGTCCGCAACAGTGGCATGCCAGTAGACGGGTTAAAGTATAACAGATTTGAGTTGTGTCTGCAAATTAAAATAGGGCACTACTTGAAGGTCGAGGCAACATGAAAGTTTGCTGATAAATTACGCACAACGTGTTATGCTATTTTTATAGACTTTTGCAGTGTAAATGTCGGAAACTTGCAAGTTATGCCGAAATCAGAGGAGATACACAATGGCGAATCAACTGAAAGTGGGAATTGTTGGGGCACACCGCGGCAGTTCTTATGTCGCGCCTTTTAAAGCGATCGCAGAAACCGAAGTGACGGCGTTTTGTGACCTCAATGAAGAGACGCTCCAGAGTGTTGCTGAACGGTTTGATGTCCCGCAGCAGTTTACGGATTATGAAGCGATGCTGGACGCAGTGGATCTTGTGGTGCTTGCCACACCGGAGAATCTACACGTGCCACAATCAATCGAAGCATTGGAAGCCGGGAAACACGTCATCAGCGAAGTAACCGCCGCTGTCAAATTTAGAAGAATGCTACGACTTAGTTCGGGCGGTTCGGAAAGCATCTGCCAAATACACGATGGCTGAAAACACGTGCTACTCCAAGTCCAATGTGTTGATCCGCAGCATGGTAGAAGCAGGCATGTTCGGGGATGTCTATTTTGGCGAAGGGGAATACCTCCATAACATCAAGTCGCTCCATCACGATGCAGATGGCAATCCGACGTGGCGTTACTACTGGCAGGTGGGCATTAATCGGTGCAACTATGCGACGCATAGCCTCGGTCCAGTACTTCAGTGGTTTGGTGGGCGGGTTGCGAGTGTCTGTTGTCTCGGTACCGGTGTTAATACCGACTCCGAGCACGCGATGGAAGATACAGTAATGATGCTGTGTAAAACAGATTCCGGCGGGTTGATCAAAATCCGGATTGATATGCTCTCGAATCGTCCGGCAAATTCCTATTTCAGCCTACAAGGCACAGAAGGGTGTTATGAGAGTTCGCGTGGGCTCGGCGCGGCACCGAAGATTTGGTTGAGCGAATTCGGAATAGGCGAACAGTGGAGACCACTCTCCCAATTTGAAGACTGCCTACCTGAACGGTGGAAAAATCCGCCTGCTGAGTCAGAAAATGCCGGCGATCTTGGCGAGTATTTCAAGGTACGGGATTTTATCGATAGCATCCTCACCGATACAGATCCACCTCTTGATGTCTACACGACGATGGATTTCACGGTACCAGGTTTGGTTTCGGAGCAATCCATTGCGAACGGCGGTGAACCAATAGATGTCCCAAATTTTCGGGAGATTGAATAATAGAATGGCAGTAGAGATGCGTTAGATCCATAAACGGCGTATTCTATTCCTCTTCTACAGGGGCAAAGACGAGCCCGCAGCTGCTGCAGCGGTATCCACTTTCCGGTTTCGATTCAACAACGGGGAAGAGCATCCCACAACAGATCGGACAGGGGTTCGTCAATTTCCATTTCGGCTTGTTCCAGTTCACCGGAGCGGTTTTCAAATTCAACAATCATGTTTTCTAATTTTCCTTGCGGTTAAAGCACGTGGATTGGGGCTTTGAAAGTCCCGTTCATAAATCCGCCTTCCACTTCGTTTCAGGCTATGTTTTCTATACTAATTTTAAGAGTACTTTCTTTGCTAAAGTTGGCGAGGAAACACCCAAGTAAAAACACCTCGCTCTTCTACTTCGCCAGATACTGACTTCAATTTAATATCTCTGTAGCGTTGGATCAATCTCGGTTGTCCACTGGTCGATGCCGCCTATAAGGTTCTTTGCGTCACTAAACCCGTTTTGCTGTAGATAAGCAGTGGCATAGAGGCTACGTGTCCCGTGGTGGCAGTAAACAACAATTTCTTGGTCGGACGGGAGACTGTCTACATGGTGCGGCAGGGTGTTGAGAGGGATTAATCGCGCATCTTCAAGATGTACGATATCGTATTCGCTCGGTTCCCGGACATCCAATAACAGGACAGTTTCATTTTCCTCAAGTTTTTGCTTCAATTCTTGTGGGGAAATTTCAGGGATTTCAGTCTGCATTGTTCAGTTTTCTTTCTCCGGTTGGATCGATGCTAACGGCGCGCATTCTGGACACTGGGACACGATCTCACGCAGGACTTCAAACGGGTAGATACCGGTGTCGTGTCCATCATCCCAACTGAATTGGAGCGCGTAGCGACCGACTAATTGGGCATCAAGGGGTTGAATATCGTCCGAGACCTCAATAAGGGTTACATCTCCATCGCCTTGCGGTGCAAAGAGGGAATGAACATCCCTACCTTTATGCCGGACGATGGAACATTCGGCACACGGACACATCCGCCGGAGATAGGCATACGGATACCAACTCACATGCCCATCCTTCCATTCCACCTGAAAGGCGTTGTCATGTTTCTTGAGGAGTTTCGGTTGTTTGGCGGTCGCGTTCATGAGATAACAAAACCCGCAGTCGGTGTTTATGACCGTAAAAGTTATAGAGACTCGCAGTTCATTCAAAAGTCACGGCACACGCGTGTGCCTACTACTTTTAAAAGAGGCCGAGTTCATCCTTTGCGTCGTCGCTCATCATTTCCATGTTCCAAGGCGGGCTCCAGACGACATTGACGTTGACTTCGTCAATCCCGTCTATTTGCTGCGTGACCTGCTGTGCACCGTTGATAATCTGTCCACCAGCGGGACATCCCATGCTCGTCAAGGTCATCGTAATATCCACAGTTGCGTCATTGATGTCAACGCCGTAGATGAGCCCCATGTCAACGATGTTAATTCCAATTTCTGGGTCAATAATTTGTTTGATACTCTCTAATACAGTTTCTTCTGTTACCACTGGGTGTTCCTCCTATAAGGTGGCAAGGTTTCAAACCTCACCAAGAAATAAATAGGTAACTCATTAGTCAACGCTGACCAAAATATCATCATCTTCAATTTTGACGGCGTAACATTCAATGGCTTCGACAGCAGGCATACAAAGCGGCTCTCCCGTTTTCACGCAAAAGCGTGCACCGTGCCGTGGACATTCTATCTCGTCGCCATTGAGCCAACCTTCAGCTAAAGGACCGCCATCATGTGTACAAACGTCCTCCATTGCATAGAACTCACCATTAATATTGAAGAGCAACACGGGAACGAAATCAACCTCAACTAACTGTTTCGTGCCGGGTGGCACTTCACTAACCTTCGCAACTTTATAGAATTCTGGCATATAGCGTTCTTCTTCCTCTTCTTCGATCTGTTAGTTTTTGGCGAGCATAATTACGGACGAAAAGGTCCTTACTTGACACTCATCTATTCCAAATTTCTTCGTGCGTGTGAAATTTTAACTGGCCGGATTTTTTACGTTCAAGGATATTCTCCATATCCTTATAAAGGGGAGATTCCTTATCAAGGTGAAAAATTCCTAGTTCTTGTGCCGCAAATTCCACCAGTTCTTCACGAACTACTTTACGAATGACGCTTTCTAACTGCTGAACACTTAGCGTAACCTTAGTTTCTTGTATTGCTGTTACATTGTCGTCCATTGCGGTCAGTCTCCTCCTTTTAGTGAAGCCGGAACTCAACAGAAGGGCAGAAACGGATATAGGAAAAGAACAAAATTTCCAAAGCCCTTTTAAAGCCAGTTCACTGAAAATGCTCTTATTATTATTCTTCGCCGGGCCAGCCTTTGATGCCGTAGGCACCCGCTTTAAGGACTTTGAGAGCCAATAACGCACATTTGAGACGAACGGGACCCAATGGGATGCCGATCATATCCAAAATATCGTCTTTTGTGAGCTGCTTGATTTCGTTAAGACTCTTGCCTTCAATTTTCTCAGTTAACATAGAGGCAGCGGCTTGGCTGATCGTACAACCGTGACCGCTAAAACGCACCTCTTTGATTTTATCATCCTCAACAAGCAGGTCCATGCGAATATGATCACCACAAAGCGGATTGTCTTCTTCGTGTGAAATATCAGGATTCGGCAACGTCCCGTAGTTGCTCGGATTTTCGTAATGGTCAAGCAGTTCTTCCTGATATATGTTCATTGTTTTCTCCGAGTCATGAGTTTTTGCGTTCTACACAACCCTTCATACAACCGGTCTACGTCTTCAACTGTATTATAGAGGTAAAAACTGGCACGGGCGGTGGCAATAACATCTAACCGCTTCATGAGTAGTTGTGCGCAGTGATGTCCTGCACGGATAGCGACACCGTGTGTATCCAAAACTCCTGCCACGTCATGCGGATGGATGCCCTCCATATTAAAAGAGATTACACCCGTTTTTTGATGTGGAGCAGACGGTCCGTAGAGGGTAATACCTTCGATTTCTTTTAAGCGTTGATGTGCATATTTTAAGAGTTCTTGTTCATGAACATGAATTGCTGCTAAATTGGCTTGTGTGATGTAGTCCACGGCGTGCCCAAGTCCGATCGCTTCAGCGATGCTTGGAGTCCCCGCCTCAAATTTCGCTGGGAGTTCCGCGTAACTTGATACATCGCGCTCTACACTCCGAATCATCGAACCACCACCGAGGAACGGAGGCATCTCTTCAAGCAGTTCCAACTTACCGTATAACACACCGATGCCAGTCGGTCCACACATCTTATGCCCTGAGAACGCGAGAAAATCACAATCGAGTTGTTGAACATCAACGTGAAAATGTGGCACACCGATTGCGCCGCATCAACGATGACCTTTGCGCCGACAGCGGTGTGGCAGCGTCAATGACAGACTGAATCGGATTGATGGTCCCAAGTACATTAGAAACGTGTCCCATAGCGACAGTTTCGTTTTCTCGGTGAGGCAGTCGCGGAGTTGTGCGCAAAATCAAGCAACCCTTCATCGGTTATCTGAGGAATCGAGCACTGCACCCGTCCGCTGCGCCAGCATCTGCCAAGGCACGAGATTGCTATGGTGCTCCATAACGGTCAGGACAATTTCATCATCGCCTTCCCGAATATTCGCGTTTCCCCAACTATAGCGACGAGATTAATGGATTCCGTTGTATTCCGCGTGAAGATGATCTGGCGCGAGCGCGGTGCTTTAATCAGTTGTGCCACCCTTCTCGCGTGCGCGTTCGTACTGCTCAGTTGCCTCTTCAGAGATGCGATAGATGCCGCGATGGATATTGGAACGATAGGTATCGTAATAGGCATCCATTGCGTCAACAACCGGACGTGGGTCTGTGTTGACGCAGCATTATCAAGAAAAGCCACGGTGGTTCTGTCGCGAAGATCGGAAAATCCTTACGGATACGTTCCACATCAAGCGGACGAAAGTGCGCAGTATGCATTATGTTTATCCCCTATGCTGGCGGGCACACTCTTTGAGCGTGCCCGCCACCGGAGACCCATTAAATACACTATTGACTCGGAAAACCAATATTGACAGCAGATGGTCCGTGGTCCTCGCACGCCTGATCCGTTGGAACATCGGTTTTCAGCATCGTCGGAGTTGACAATCCCTTCTGAAACCAAATACTGTTCCACTTCATCGCCGCTAACATCAGCAAGTATCATGTCGTCAATCTGAACACACGGTTGATACGGCTGTCCGCGTCTTTTGAACCATTTCACGATAGTTGTCTTCGTTGTTAATGATGTCTCTATCTTCATAATCCAAACCGTATTTAGCGAAGATAGCACGGACACCATTGCTCCATCCACAGACGGGTTTCATGTAAGCGATAATTTTAGGTTGACTCATTGTGAGTGGCTCCTTTGTATTAGTTGAGCGTGTTCAAAAAACACGCTAATAGACAATTAGGCAATACTTAGATGGCACGCCTATTTAATGCTATGATAGTTTATTCGTAATGGATGTACGCAATTCTTCACGCACGGATTCCAACGGGATACGTTCCATGACAGGTTCAAAAAATCCATCAACAATCAGTTTTTCTGCTTGTGCGTAAGGCACACCACGGCTCATGAGGTAAAAAACCTGCTCGGCATCAATCTTCCCAGCGGTTGCACCATGTGTACAGCGCACCTCATGTGCTTGAATCTCCAATCCGGGCAAGGTATCGGCATGTGCACGTTCGCTGAGCAGCAGATTGTCGTTCTTCTGATACGCATCGGTATGGTTCGCCGACGGATAGACGTAGATGTTTCCACCCCACGCAGTCTGCGCCCTGTCTTTGAGGACAGTCCGATACAGCAGATCGCTGGAAGTATGCGGTGAAATGTGCTCCTGTGCGGTGCTAACATCTAAGTGTTGGCGTGCATCAGGGAAAGCTAAGCCCAACATTTGGGCGGTACACCCAGCACCTTCCAAGACGACAGCTTGGTTTACCTTGCTTAACCTGCCACCGAAAGCGGCGGTTACCCAGCAGAGTTGCGCGTCTCTACCAACCATCGCGCGGTGAGAGGCGAAGTCCCAGACGTGCCTATTCCAACGTTGTAGTTGCACGTAAGTCACGTTCGCATTCTGTCCCGCGAAAATTTCAACAGCCCCGCTATGTAAGCCGCTTGTAGTTTCGTCAGTAGATAGATTGTCCTCCAAAATCACAACCTGACTGCCCTCTTCAGCAATGATGAGTGTATGCGAGAGGTCAGCTTGTTGTGCTTCGGACATACTGATGCGAACCCGCAATGGGACTTCAACGCTGAGCCCTTTGGGGACATGCAAGACGTAGCCGCCTTGCCAAAATGCCCCGTGTAGTGCGTCAAACTTGTTATGAAGGGCGATATTTCCGCTTTTTAACGTCGTTTCCAGTGTGACCGCCCTGCTCATGAAGTAGGAGCGAAGCAGTTCCGACCGTTCCTTCAAAGCCGTGTGGAGGTCAGCGAAGTAGACACCCTTTTTTTCAAGTTCCGCGGATAGGGAGGCGTGTTGGAGCTGTCCATCTGCTTGCACAAGCACGCCTGCAGTTTCTTCTGAATCGTGCGGCAGTGCTTCCCGCAATGCATCACCGTTCGTTGCGACATTGGGGTGATATTTTTCAAGCGCGAAGCCGCTGAGATGTCGCCGAGTTCGACGCCAGTAATCTTGGGTGCGTATATCTACGGTGCGCCGCCACACATCATCTTCGGTAGTATGCGGCATCGGCAGCGATTTGTAAAAGGCGTAAGCCTCTAACCGTTTGTCACGCATCCACTTCGGTTCTGCCCGCGCTATTTTCTCAACAAAATCTTTTGAAAAATCGCCTATTTTCAATTCAACACCTTCCGTTATCCGACTGAGCCTTCCATCTGAAGTTGGATGAGACGGTTCATTTCCACAGCATACTCCATAGGGAGCTCTTTGACGAGAGGCTCAATAAAGCCGTTCACAATCATCGTGGAGGCTTCCTGTTCCGAAAGCCCGCGGCTCATGAGGTAGAAGAGCTGCTCTTCTCCGATTTTGCTGACACGCGCCTCGTGTTCAATGTTCGTATCGTTCTCGCCAATTTCAATGACCGGATAAGTATCCGAACGTGAGTCTTTGTCAAGGATGAGTGCATCGCAAACGACATGCGATTTGCATCCCTTGGCACCTTTGGCGACATCAACCCACCCGCGGTAACTCGAACGTCCGCCATCCTTGCTAATGGACTTTGAGGTAATCTGGGAGGTGGTATGTGGTGCGCAATGGTAGACTTTCGCGCCTGCGTCCTGGTGCTGTCCCTTGCTAGCGAACGCAATTGAGAGGATCTCCCCGCGTGCGCCTGGCTCCATCATATAGACACTCGGGTACTTCATCGTTAACTTACTGCCGAGGTTGCCATCAACCCACTCCATCTGTGCGTCTTCATAGGCAAGTGCCCGCTTGGTGACGAGATTATATACATTGTTCGCCCAATTCTGGATAGTGGTGTAGCGGACCCGGGACCCTTTCATGCAGACAATTTCAACCACAGCACTGTGCAAGGATTGACTGCTAAATGTCGGGGCGGTGCAACCTTCAACGTAGTGGACCTGCGAGCCTTCGTCAGCGATGATGAGCGTCCGTTCAAACTGCCCCATGTTTTCGCTGTTGATCCGGAAATAGGCTTGCAACGGATATTCAACCTTTACACCCGGCGGGACATAAACAAAACTCCCGCCACTCCAAGCGGCACTGTTGAGTGCGGCGAATTGATTATCCGCAGAGGGGATGATGGTCCCGAAGTATTTCTTCACCAAGTCAGGGTGCTCTTTGATAGCAGTATCCGTATCAAGGAAAATTACGCCCTGTTTAGACAACTCGTCCACGATGTTATGGTAAACCACCTCGGAGTCGTATTGTGCGCCGACTCCGGCGAGGAACTTCCGTTCGGCTTCGGGAATACCGAGCCGGTCAAAGGTTTTTCTTGATGTCGTCCGGTACATCGTCCCAGCTTTGTTCGCTCCGGTCAGAGGCTTTGACGTAGTAGTAAATGTCGTCAAAATCGAGTTGTGAGAGGTCGCCGCCCCATTTGGTCATCGGCTTCTGCTTGAAAATCTTGTAAGCCTCGAGCCGGTACTGGCGCATCCAGTCGGGTTCCTCTTTGATGTCGCACATCTGATTGATAACTTCCTCGTCCAACCCTTTGCGGGCTTTGAACGTTGGCTTGATATCGTCGTGAAATCCGTATTGATAGTCGGTATTAAATCCGAGTTCTTCAGCGGTGTTCGTTTCTGGGGTTCCCATTTTCAATTCTCCTTTTACGTTAGCGGGGTGGATATAGATATCCATCCCTACAACTCGAAGACGCGGGCGGTAATAGTGCGTTGTCAAGTTTGAATGTGGAAGTCGCTTGTAGTCGGACAATCCTTTGTACACCCAAGAGCGGAATAATGCACGTCGCATTTGGGCGAGTACGCCGCAGAATTGCGCGACTACGAACCTATAATTTTTAGGTTGACAAAGCCTTAGGGCACCGCCTCTACAAATTACTGGACGGCTTCGGCAATACCGTATTTCTCGCGAATTGGATCATATCCTTCAGCTTCTAACATTTCGGTGAGTTCCGATCCACCTGACTCAACGATTCTACCGTCAAGCAGGATATGCACGAACTGCGGACGGATATAGTCGAGCAAAGCGTGGATAGTGGGTGATAATTAGTACTCCCAACTCCGGTCCAATCAATCGATTGACGCTTTCCCCGACGATACGGACAGCATCAATGTCAAGCCCGAATCAGTCTCATCAAGGATCGCAATTTGGGTTCAAAGCATTGCGAGTTGTAAAATCTCTGCGCGCTTTTTTTCGCCACCTGAGAACCCATCGTGAGGTATCGCCGTGCGAAAGAATCGTCAAACGCCGAGCTGTTTCATTTTCTCGATAAGTTCACGCCGGAATTCCCGCATCGGAATGAGACCGTCTTTGCTTGAACCATTCCCTTCACCCCCACGGACTGCACTGACAGCGAGCCGTAGAAAATTAGCTAAGCTGACACCAGGAATCGCTGTCGGATACTGAAAAGCAAGAAAAAGTCCGAGTTTGGCGCGTTCATTCGCTTCCATCTCCAGAATATCAACCCCATCAAAAATCACTTCCCGGAATCAATATCGTAGAGAGGGTGCCCCATCAAGCCGTTGGCAAGGGTGCTTTTGCCAGATCCGTTTGGGCCCATAAGTGCGTGAATCTCACCCTGTTTTACAGTTAAATTTAGCCCTTTGATAATTGGTTTGCCTTGCACACTGATGTGCAAGTCTTTAATCACCAAGTCTTTGCTCATCCGTTGGTTTGAACTCCTTAATTTATTTATAGGTACATTTCCAAACGTGCTCTTTTTAATACATCTGCATCGCAATAAAATACGCGCGCGTGTCGCGTATAGAAGACACCTCAACCCGCCAATCCTCGACATATTTCGCTCCGGTTTAACGAATCTACTGCATTGATTTTATGCCCCGCCTCTTTCTGATCAACTGCATCGAGGATTAACTCAACAATTGCTTCATCTGCCACGCCTTCACGTAATGGTGTAAGCAGATCTATCTCCGTTAACGAGAAGAGGCAGGTCCGAAAACTTCCCATCGGCAGTAAGGCGGACTCGGTTGCAATTTTCACAAAACGGTTTTCACTCACAGAGGGTATAACACGACTCGTGGCCGTCATCTGAGAAGCGATAACGTTGAGCAGTGTCACTCTTGCGGCCCCGCTTACGGCTACCGGTGTGAGTGGAATAGAGCGCGTTAATTTTTCGATAATCTCTTTTCCGGGAATGTACATATTGCGTCCCCAGACATCATCGGCATCAAGCGGCATAAAATTCGATGAACCGAAGCTGATAGTTATTTTTCCGTGCGAAGGTCGCCAAATCGACAATCTCGTCGTCGGTTAAAACCTCGCATTGCAACAGCGTTGATTTTAATCGGATGTGAAGCCGCATTCGTGTGCTTTTTTTCAAACCATCAAGTACGCGAGAAAGTACTTTCCGGCGGGTCATCTGCTCGAACTTCTCTTCGTTAAGGTGTTCCAAACTAACATTAATCGGCGGAGACCCAGCATCAGTACAGTGCTTGCGCTTGGCTAATGAGCCCGATGCCGTTTGTGTCAAACTAATGTCTTGAGTCCTTCTAACTGCGTTAATCGCTTTATGAGGTGCTGGCACGCCGGACGTAAAGACAAGCGGTCACCACCTGTAATGCGTACTTTGCTAACACCCAACGCAACGAAATGCGCGCGCGAGATGCAGAATCTCATCATAAGTCATGAGTGCCGAATCCGGCAGGAAGGTCATGTCTTCCGGCATACAGTAAATGCATCGAAAGTTGCAGACATCGTAACCGAGATTCTAAGGATTCGTATGGATCCGCCAAAGCGGTCAAGCATCTGTTGTTTCATCTTACTTCAACTTCAGATAGACAGATTCAATTATTAATTAAAGTATATCACATCAGTATTCTGTTTGCAAGTTTTTTATAGTAAAAACTATAAAAAAGATTTTGGGTGTAAACAGGGAAAGATTGTAACTTCACGCTGCAAAAGACTTTTTTCTTGACATATCTGTGGCTTAATGTATAATTTTTCTAAATTTTGGAAATGGGGGAAAAATCGTCAATAACCCCGAAGAAAATTGGGGGCTTGTCCAATACGGCAGCCAAGCCTATCGGTTGAACGCGGGTAACTTATGACTACAGTAATATATCGCAGTATCTGTGTGTGGCAGCAAGAACAATGGGTTGTAAAACGATATGTCGAACTGGTAGTAGGCATGTCTTAAGGATGCTCCCAAAGTCTCAACACCTCTGGATACTGTGATCTGTAAGGGCAACACTTATACCTACGAAAGTAGAGACCGAAAGGTCATTACCTGTTTTTCTTAACAGCACCGGGTCAGGTTGGATTGGAGATAGTGACAGCACTTCCAAAAAGAAGCAGCCCACTAGAAGAAATCGCCCACGAGTCTGTGGCGGAAAAACAACTCGCACCCCACTTCGGGGAATCTATAATATAAAAGGAGAGGGCATTCCTCCCCCAGCTAAAGCAAGGGGTATCCTGCCCGAATATTTTGATGAACGAAAAAGTGTTCCACATCGGTGGCGTTGAACTCCGCGTGGATAACCGCGATATCGGAGCAGATGGCGGTCCCCTCTGTACGTGTTTACGGTGAGATGCGATGTGAACGGACGGTGAAAACATTCAACTGCTCCGTTTCGACTGCTTTCGCAAGGACCCACATTATCACTACGATCCCTCCGGGAAGAATGATCAGCGGCATCTCGATAAAGCGAGTGTGCCGGATTCAGTCGCATGGACAATTGAACAATTAGGAGAAAACCTCGTGGAGATGATTCACACAGCAGGTTATAGCAGCGTCGCTAACAAAGTTGACCAGGCAGCGGTCGCGCAAATTCTGCCTGAAGTGGAATCCCTTATGCACGGTGATGCCTAATCTCATAGATATGTTTTAAGTACACAATGGAGAAAATTAACGTGACGAAATTATAACTTTAGCGTGTTCCTGCTCATGCTGCTTGATGCTTGACCACTTTTGCAGGAACACCACTGGATTGGGGGAAAATGGAAGGAAGGTGAACTTCTTCTCGAAAACCACAGTTTTGAAGAAGATTTAGCCGGTTGGGATTTAGAGGACGGTGCATGTTGTGACCGTGGCGGACTTTATACAATGGAAATAGATAAAAAAAATCCGCAACACGGAAAACAGTCACTCAAGGTAATCGGACATAAATCAACAGGGACCGCATGGCACGCAAAGGTTAAGCAGCTGGATGTCTCGATGAAATCAGGTGAAACATACACGGTGATCTTTTGGGCGCGCTCCGAAAAGCCACGCGAGGTGACATTGAGTGTGCAGATGCAACACGATCCCTGGACCTTCTACCAAGGGGGCGCTATCAATTTATTAGGACCGGAGTGGATGGAGTACCACATCACTTTCAATTCGGGTGCCGATGTTGAAAGAGACATGTGGGTAGGCTTGTCAATTGCTCAATCGGATGTGGATTTCTGGATTGACAACTTCCGATACTTTGAAGGTGATCCAGAAGACGATCTGAATCGGGAGACACCGTTCCCTGTCGATGCCAAGGAAAAGTTGGCAACGCAGTGGGGTGAGATTAAGACGGAACGGTTCTAACGAGGTTCATTCAGTTTCATGAGGCGCGGTCTCCTGACCGCGCTATTTTTATTTCAGTGATGTTCTGTCGTTTTTTATTTTATAATCACCTTTCTAAATGTTAGTGATACCCGTCGCCGCCGCTCATATTTTTGACCATCCCATTCATCTGATCTTCTTGCGGCGATCCCGTGTAACCACTCATGTCTCGCTTCGCCATTCAACACAACCAAACTTCTTGGGGCAAGCCAGACCGGAATCTTTTTTGTTTTATCGGATTTGTTTGTGAAATCCATAATACAACCCGACCCTAAACTCAAAGAGACTATCGTCCCCTCAAAACAGGGTTCACAATCAATGTGACTTGCAATGCCTTGCCCAGGCAGGTATTCATTGACGATTACTTGATCTGCAGCTCTGGGCATCTGTCCGTCTTTGTATAATTTGTCCCTGAACCTTTTCAGCCATTCTGGTAACTCACCAATACGCATATCAAGATTAACTTTCCGCGCTTTGTAGTCATACTTAAAACCGTAATGCTGAACACGCCGCTTTAGGTCATCAAGCCATGGCTGTTTATCAATATGATCTAACAACCAATCATGTTGTCTTTCATCAATATAGTCCTCAATATACTGGAGTCCGCGGATTGCATCAAACAATAACACTTTTTTTCTGGTGGGTTGTGGTTGAGTAGTTTGCTGATCCAATAAAGATAGCTTTAAGTGTATGTAAGACATGTTTTGCTGTCTTTATTCAGAAAGCCGCGTTTTGTCTGTAACACAGGTTTCTCACCTATAAAAAAGATGGCTTATAGGCAGAATTACTGCTTCCGTGACGATGCTTCACCGGATCCCATTCCTGCTGATAACATTTCAGTAACCAAGGCGTTTAAACTTATGCCTTCTTGCTCTGCTTGCTGCAAAAGCTGCGTATGAATATGCTCAGGGATATGTTGAATCCGGTGTCCACTGAATCCGTTAGCAGAAGCGGGCTGCGGAATTTCATCGCCAAACTCTTTTGCTGTTTCTATCCAGCAAAAAACAGCGTCTTTTCCATTCTCTATCGTTTCTTCAATTGTATCGCCATCAGACATACACCCCGGTAGGTCGGGGAATTCGATTAAATAGCCTCCACCTTCTTCAGAGGGCAATATGCTCATAAGAAACGGATACTTTGGTAAAGAAGGAAATTTGGTCAAATAACTATCTTCTTCATCGCGGGGCAATATGCTCATAAGAAACGGATATTTCAGTTCATTCATGATTCATCTTCCTCAAGATGTTCAATTAACTGCACAAATTGCCGAATGTATGCCGGCTTAATTGGACGGCGGGCAGGAACACTTAACCTTGCGCCGGAATCATGGCGTAGCGTTACATGACTTCCGCCACCCTTAGGTCGGCTTACCGAAAATCCGTATCGCCTCGCAAGTGTCTCAACGTGAGGAATTTGCCAGTCACCGCGTGGATTGTTTTTCATTCTTGCCAGCAATTTATCACCTGCCATAGCAATAGTATAACAAAGAATGTTCGACTTGTCAAAATAACTTCAGAGCCATTAAGTTTTCGGTTTTTTGAAAGCATTATCGGGAATAGGTGCGCGCTGCTGTCCGCAAGAATCGGGGTTAGAAACCCCTCCTACAAGAGTGATTCGTGACAATTGAATGGCTCTGAAATAACTTCTACGCTGCGCGATTTTTGATTTTTATCCGCTTCATATCCCTCCTCAGAAAGATAGGCACTTATAAATCCACTGTGTAAGCCCTAAAAAATTTTTCAGTATCAATCTATAACCACCCCTCTAAAGGTTAGCGATATTCGCCGCTGCCGCGTATACTTACGTCCATCCCACACATCCGATTTTCTGGCGGGAATACCGTGCAACCACGTATATCTCGCCGCCTCCGTCAATACAGCGATACTTCTTCGGGCAAGCCAGACTGGAACCTTTTCAGTTTTGTCATGTTGGTTTGTGAAATCCATAATACAACTTGATCCGAGACTTAAAGCGATAATTGTATCCTTAAACCAGGGTTCGCGATCAATATGACCGCCAATGCCCTGTCCGGGTTGGTATTCGTTGACAAGCACCTGATTTGGAACTTCCGATATATATCCATCCGTTGTAATTTGCGACTGAGCCTTTTCAACCATTCCGGCAACTCATCAATATGCGTATCCTGGTCCAACTTCCCCGTATTGTAGTCATACTTAGGTCCGTAATGCTGATAGCGCCGCTTAGAAAAGTAGTGCCACTGTTGTTTATCAATTTGATTTAACAACCAATCATGTTGGAACTCTGTGATATAGTCAACTACATACTGGAGCCCACGGATTTTATCAATCGCTTCCTCATTTTTAGGAGACGGTTGTGGTCCAGAAGATTGCGGATCTGATAACTGGAACAAGTGTAATTGTGTCATAGTCAGTCCGCTATTAGATCAAATTCACTCGTAGCAAAGTATCTCATAGTAGACAGCACTACTGTGCAGTAAACCATTTATGAGTCTACAATAAGAAAAAGTTTCAATATTTGATTGAATTACTTGACTTCTAAACACCGACAGGTTAGTTTTAAGTTTTTCCCACTTGCCATAGAATTTCAAACGGCGGGCCCCGGATAATGATCGATGATCAGGATTTTGGTATATTAAGCACATTTTATGCTGGTTGTGTTCCTTTATAATCTGAATGAGTACATCAGATAAGCTATTAATGTCTAATGTTGGACTCGCGAAAAAAATAACAGAAATTAAATATAATCTGTGTCCTATCACCGTTTTCAATGTATTTGTCCAATAATTTCGTCAAGTAATCGTAACTGTAGTCGCGAATTAACTCAAATTTATCAAAGAAAGGATCTTTATACTTGTTGGGGCCATATTTGTTGATTGTAGCCGCCTTATCAAGCATAGTTCGTGAACTATCAATTCCTAAATAAGTAATGTCGCTCTGTCCTGCAAAAGCTCGAAAAGCAATACCTGAAGTTAATGGACCACAACCGAAGTCAATGAATACAGCTTTATTCTTTTCGCTTATCGGCGTGAGGCACTTCGTAAAAACGTGATAAGAACCAAAAAGGTGCCTGGGCATATGATGGACACAATAGATAGATACCTTGTCTTTTGGAAAATAATATTCATTCGATGGTTTATCAAATGATACTTCATCAAAATTGCTCTGTCCTGTTTCAGGATGCGCGCTATATCTTCCCAGTAGTATATTCTGTTATTTTTAACATCTTCCGATAGTGCCGGTAGATCGTGTCAAATGGTTGTATGATTAACGTCTTCAAACAGATTTTTTAGACTTCACTGGGTTTATAGTAGTTGTCATAGGGACAGTGTATATAGGGCATATTTGGAGTTTGAGGGAGGTACTTAGCGAATGATTCATCTTTAATCCAGATGTTCAATTACGCCGCGATATGGAGGGCCGGACTCGCTTCCAGTTCACCACGGTAGCCAACAGAACCGCTATTGCAATGCATGTCCCGACACAATACCCACCAGGTGAGAAGATTACCAACAACCACGAATCCACCAGCCATCCGAGCAACGGTGCCAGAATAATTGTTGCCAACGATTTCGATTGCGCTTCAATAGATAAGATCGTCGCGCCCATCTCAGGTGTGGATTGCGCATTGAAACGACTAATCAAACCGGGTCGCCAGAAATTCTGAAGGATCGCTAATCCAACAAAGAGGACGATTATCGCTGGATACCAACTGAACCACAATGCCGGAATCAACAAGGCGAACAGTGCTAAGTCTATCCACCACATAAACCGCGCAGCCCCTTCATCGCCGCCGCGCCAATTTGAGATATGATGCGAATTCCGGGAGGCGAAAGACGACAGGAAGTAGAGGACAAAATAGACACCCGCCACAAGTAACGCTGATCGCTTCGATCATCATCTAATGCTAAAAGTAAGGGGAGTGCTATGGCTGTCTGTTGAGTATCGGTTGGAGATAGTCCTTACTGCCTTTATACATCCCTTCAAAACCCATTCCCTCAAAAACCAAGCGGCGGAGTGGCGCGAAGTGTACCGCCTGTTTGAACGCACTGCTGAGCAGACGCGCAACCGCTTGAGCGAAAACTCACTCTGTCTATCGCCATCTAATTGCGAGGGGTATCCGAAGAAGTTGATGATATTCAAAGCGTATGGGATAATCGAAAACCAGAAGAGTCTGTACGAAATTGCCGCGGTAAAAAACCAAACCACCCGCGATGAGAACAGAAATAGCGGAACCCATCTGCGACCAAGAGCGTGTATAACCAGTATATTTTCGTCTTCTCGTCCGACCTTCCCTGCAGGCGGAGCCAATCGAAGATCATCGCCTTGTGGGTGCCACTACGAAATGCATCGCCTAAGCCGAAGAAGAACATCGCACCGAAAAGTAGAAACAGCGATTCACTTTGAGCAAATATCGCGAAAGAGACGATATACGCACAGAACGAAAAAATCATGGCGCGTCGTCTGCCATAAAGGTCAGCGAGCGCACCGGAGGGAATCTCAAATAGGTTGGTACAAACCTCCCTAAACCCGATCAAGATGCCAATTTGAAAGAATGACAAGCCTTTCTCACGAAACACCAGAATCAGAAACGGATCGAAGTAGCGTTGATTCTTCAGGAATCCATAGAGCGAAAAGCGGAATAGCATCAATATATCCCAGTGTTAAAAGGTTAGCGATAGCAATTGGCGTTAGGGTCAATCCCAATACAGGCGCGATCAGAAATTCCTCTACGCAATTGGTCAAGATAATAGCATATTTGGGAAAAAAGGCAAGGAAAAAGTAAGATGGAAAACAGAAGTCTTTAAATGTTCCCGTGTTCGGATCAATAGTGCATTAACACAAGCACAACCGAGATACAGACTCTCAATCAGGAGGTTAGGACTGCGAGTCGGCAACTAATTCTTCTTGATATGCAAAGAGTGCCGGAGTACCACCGGTGTGAAGGAAAATGACGGTGTCGTCGCGTCCAAGTTTGCCTTGTTGAATATGGTCAATAAGACACGCCATCGCCTTAGCGGTATAGACAGGATCAAGGAAGATCCCCTCCGTTTTGACAACGAGTTTGAGGGCATCAATACATTCGGGTGTGAGGTAACCGTAAGCCTGTCCGATATAATCATCTGTGTTCTGAATATCTGCATCGGTGACGTGGGTATCTAATTCCAAAAGTTCGGCGGCACTGTTTGCGAGCACCGCGTAGCCGATCAAATTTACCTTCCCAAACAATAGGAGCAATGCCAAACGGTTTCATCTTCAGCCCAAGCGTTTTGGTACCGAGGACGAGTCCTGCCTGTGTGCCCCTACAGAAGCGGTATAAATCCAATCCGCATCAATACCCAATTGCTGTTGCTGTTGCGCAATTTCAGCGATGCACCATGTAAAAGCAACGGCGGCAAGCGCAGTTGAACGCGGCGACTGCGAGGACATAAGGTCTTCATCTCCCTGTCTGCCTTGAGTTTTTCAGCGAGTTCGTACTTCACCACATCTAACTCTCGGTCCGAACGGGACATCAACAATCTCGACATCCGCATCTGCTAAATTATCCAGTAACAGATTCCCTTGGAGGATACTCTTGTGGTCCCGGGCGAGACGTAAATAACATTTGAGACCGAGTTTACCACAGGCAGCAGGCGGCTTGCCTACAATGATTAGATTGAGAAGCCGCGCCTTGGATAATCGTATCAGCACCTTGTGCGACAGCATCACCGATCGTGAAGTAAGCTGCCGTACTTTGTTGCCCCCAAATGCCAAACCTGAACAATCTTCGCGTTTCATAAAAATGCGCGGTCCAGCCGAGTGCCTCGGAAAGTCGCGGGCATTCCTCCAGTGGTGTCGGGAAATGACCGAGGTCCACCTGTGGCATCTGCGCGATCTTTTGAACTAAGCGTTCTCTTGTCTCCATCCGTTCTACTCCGCTTCAATGACAACAGCCATTTGACTGACGCGTTTTCCATCCTTGGACTGCAATCCAGCCGTGACAACTTCAACAATCGTCCCTGCTTCAAACTCGCAAGAACTTGCACCCTTGACTTTGTGATGGTTCGGTGAAACCTTCGTTTCTCCGACTTCAATCGAGATGATTTCAGAATCAACGAGATTCAAGAACCAATTGAGACGCTCGGGTAACTCATTCCCGCGCGTACTCTCTGCGACCTCAACGAAGAGAAAATCTCGGATAAACTCAATGAGGAATTTTTTAAAGATAAGCACCTCAATTTTCTCTGCGTGTTCTTTTTCCTGTTCGATCAACTTACTGGCAAAGCGTTGAAGATAAGCATCACATTCATTCTGAATTTTCTCCAAATCGCGTTCGCTTTCGGCGAGAAGGTCTGGAAACAACGTCGGAGAAGGTGTAGAGACACCACGCGTCTGCTTGAGCGTCTGCCTAAGACGTGTATCTACTTCATCAAGCGTTTGGACAAGCTGCTCGGTTTCAGGTGTAGCACGTCCAGTCTCCTTCCGCCATGCGATCACCTCGTTCACCATGAGGTTCAGGAGCAAAATTGCGATTTCCGCCTCGGAAAGCGCGCCCATATCCCAATCAAGAAGATTGAGTCCATATCCCTCGTTGTAATCCCGCTCCAATTTAGCAGTGGTCTGAAATGCATTCTGAACAGCATTGCCTTTTGCTGATAGTAGCCTTGCCACGTCTACCATCAGCAGTGAGCCCCACGCTTGGGCGACTCTGTCCAAACACCCTTTCTCTTTCCGTTTTAAAGATGTCGGACCGGCTTTAGCAGCTGTAGCACCAAGATGCGCGGATGCTTGTGCCTTGCGTTGTTCTGTGAGTGCACTGGGTGGAAAGAGGGCACTGCGATCTTACATTCCAAGTTAGGAATCTACAATGGACGACACAGACACGGTATCCTGAGTTACCAGGTAATTTCAGTGCGATAGGTGGCGGAAAGTTTTCTTTCAGCTCCTGTTCGCTCTCCGGTAGCACACCGATCCCGGGCGCGCTTCGCTCAATGGATCCGGTAGCCTTACTTTCCTTTAACTGTTGCATCGTTTTGACTCGGTTACAGCACGTTCATCCTCGTCAATGCTTGTTCCTATCGGTTCCAGGGTCTCCGCCATCGGAATATCCATTACGGCTTCTTCTACCTGTTTGTTGCGTTCTACTCAGGAACGGAACTTTCATCCTCATTACTCTCACTCTCCGGTTTCTTAAAGGTGCTGGTAGTAGCCACGTCGCAAGTCTGCGAATCCTCAAGAGGGTTTTGTGAACTTCAAATCCTGACCTCTGTTAAGCGATCAGGTTTGAGCGGGTCCAATTCAGCAGGAGGGTGTCCAAAGCCATCCTTCGCGATTGTTCAGGTTTGAGAGTGCCTCCATTCAGCTATACTCTTTTCAATCAATGCGGCAGAATACGGTTCAGCCCGCTCAACAAAAAGGTTAAGCGATATGCTTCACAAGACTCTCTGTAGGGAGGCGGCTGCGAGACGGGCGCGTCGGTTAACTGAAACTGCGCCAATTGGCGAGTCCACTCATCGAAAGCTCTGATACATCACACGCACCTGTCTTTCTTTGTTACCAGATTCCGGTACACACTCATAATGGTGCATCACCATCACGATACTAAACAGTATTTTCGATATCCGGGAAACGCCCTGTTACGTACGCTGTTCCTAGCCATGTTGTCCTTTCGCCTTGACAATATCTCCAGATGTGTAATTAAGAGCGAACATAAGTTTGATAGACTCTATCGGACTATTCTATTCAACGTCTTTTGTCAATGATTCGCGTACCAAAGGTTTTGCTATCTCCGTTTATCTCCCATGCTTCTCAATTTACAGATTAACCTTTTGGAACGTGAGTTTCGATAAATAGTAAGAGTAACGTCCGTTCGACTTAACCGCGTAGGTAATCAGCACCGACTGCCCGTTACAGCATGTCGGTGGATTGAACCGACCCTCACTAAAACCGGAGAAACCAGATGACTTTCAAGTATATAGGACTTACGCATCAAAACGCCTGTGGATGGATGCTTCGCCTTTCGTGCCCATCCCAAACATGAACGCACGCAGGGCACGGGGACCCTGCGGACTAGTCGAGACGAACGTATTGCGTAAGTCCTGGTATATCCAGAGACTGAAATCATAGCTGCTTCGTTGGGTTTCGCTATATCCATCTCTAGAAGCGGTCATCGAGAAGCAGCTTTTTCATATAAGTTGTAGAGCGGACTTGTGGTCATTACGCGCTCAACCCACCTACGTATACACTGCCTTGGGTTATTATCGAACTCACGTTTTTGGAGCGATTTGATGAACTATCGATCGCTCCGAGCAAGATAGAAGGTTACCGTCGGATGAGCATTTTTCGGGTCGCGTGGAATCTCCAGCTTGAATCGAATAATAGACACGCGCTTGCGTACAGGTTCGCCAGCAGCATTACGTCCGCCCCAGTGTGCAGTGTGCGAACCCGCCCTTGCGGATAGGGCCAAGTCGTCTTGCATAGATATGTCTCCCTGCGTATCATAGATATAGAGCGACACATTCACATCGGAGCGAGTTGATACGGAATCCATGTCTCTGGATTAAATGGGTTTGGGAAATTTTTGCTTAAACGGTTGACAGGGGTAGATTTAAACGACATCCGGTATCCAATCAGACGGCATCGTCTCCTCAACAGCAAGCGAGTAACGTCTGGATGCACGCGAAAAATACGGAGTTGATATAGGTCCGCGAATAGAGGGCGGTGTCTGTAATTTTAATTCAGATGGAAATCGGGAGTTCACTAAACCGTGAGGTAACTGTCAGCGTGCGTGTATCAATCAACTGAACGCTCTCACTATCCAGTAGATAGAGATAATTCCCTCCGACCTGGGCATCAATCGGGAGCGCATCATTTTCATATACGCCACTGCAGCCTCGGTCGCGCGGAATCAGACACATCCAGCACGGCAACACCAACGCCGCTATCCAGTAAATAAGCACGTTTTCCCGCAAGTGTAACGCCGGTTGCATTTCCCTGTGTAGCGTAACTCCCAACAGGACTCGGTACTGAAGGCTCTGTGATGTCAAAAACATGCATCCCACCCTCAAGCGCAGCACATAAGTATAGGAAGTGAAGATGGGTCAATAGCAACGCGATAAGCACTCCCATCCATGTCACGTTTGGAAACGATTCTGCTCTGTTGAGGGACTGACTATCAACGACAATCAAGGATTCAGCGCAAAGATAGACGTACCTTCGTGCAACGCAATATCTGAAACGGGCGCGGGTGTCGGTATATGCGTCACAATCGTATTCCCGCGCGAGATCAACAACGAACATACCTGTCTGGGCAGCAACAAACGTATCCGTCCTGTACGCGAACTTTGGTGCAGCTTGTCGCCCCGAACTGCTTGTTATTACAAGTAAGGGTATCCGCAGGCAATGATAGATTTCGGGTCAAGGTACCGTGATAAGGAGTCGTGAATTCAAGGGTACGCAATCCACCCACACCGTTTGCAACATAGACAGTCCGTTCACCTTCCGTTGTCTCCACAACATCAAGCCCATAAGGAGTACCACCAAATGCATAGTGATGTAACCACTTGCGGCGATTCCGATGCACTAACATCGAGTGTCTGGATACCGCCTTTCCCGTCAGCGATATAAGCCAAAGTCTCCCGGATTGACGACATCAGTTGCATTGCCGAACGTAGGTTGTGAGGAAATTCGCTGTGGCTGCTGCGGGTTACGCACATTAATGATATGCAAGCCCCTGCCTGCTGATCTGTGAGATAGACGGTATCGTGTACTAGTTGAATGCCGGTGCGAACCCGGGTGTATTAAGCGGAAACTGGTTTCGGGGTTTGGATATCCGTAATATAAACCAAGTGAGGTTCCCTGAAGCGACATAAGCATACGCGGCATCTTCTGTCTCTCAATCTCATAAGCGGCGGCAAGAATAGGCACAACACTGCGGAAGACAAAATCACCGAATGGATTCGGTTCAAGGATATACAGTCCGTGTCTGTCATCACTCAAGTAGACAGTATCGTTATGGATAACAACATTGATTGCGTGCCACCAGTGCGAAAGAAACGTCGAGGTCGAGGTGTTTGAGCGTTGCGGACATCGTTTTGATTGTAAACAAGCATCCCTCGTTCTCTGCCAAGCACATACAGATTACCGTCGGCAATCTGGACTTTGCGTGCATCTGTAAACCCGCCAAGCGTCTTTAGACCTTTGGCGTCGGTCGGTACGCAACATCAATAACGTGTACACCCTGCAGCACCATCAGCAACATAGCCGTATCGCCATCAACTACCACAGATGCGCTTGCCCCAGTGTAGCGATTTCACCGATGCGGACAGGTTTTGTCGGTTCAGCCAGCGAGAAGATCTCAAGTCCCCAATTGCTCGCTGCATAAAGATACTGGAACATCTGTATCACTCATTACAATATCGGTATAGTCACTGGCGAGATGAATCTGCGTCATCGGTTCAAGCTGCGTGCCCGGTTGGAGATCTATAGGGAACATACTCGGTTGTGTGCGATTGCCAAGGGCATCAGTTACAGAGTCGGGTATAGTATCCGATGTACGCTCCCGTGGTGCGGCTGCTACAAAATCGTCATGCATATCCACAGCGACATAACTGAATCTCTGTAGCGCATCCGTTGTTACCATCAAGACGATCTCACCATCTCGCTGAAGCCCTTCGCGTCGAAATGTGCCCCTCGATTTTGGGTATCAAACGAGATAGGTGTAACAACAGCGCGTCCATTCACTGGCAGGTAAAGGGTTGTCGCGTAGAGGTTTCCCGAACCCGTACCGGTTACAGATATATCAAGCGTTTCAGGCAGATTTTCAAAGCGAATATAGTGCGCACTCCACTGGTCGATACGATATTATTCGCCTCGTTCGGATACTGAAGACGCGCGGCACTGCAAGCCGTCACCTTTCGGTTGCGCAAGGAAGCATAACCGAGTTTTGATCTCTCGCCTGTGCGTTCACCCAATTCGCGAGTCCCCAGTTCAGAAAGACTTCGGGAAAGCGTTCACTGCTCCCACTACCTGCTAAGGCAGCATCAATCCCTTGCTCACCAAGGGCATCCGCTCCTATGATACCGCGGATAAGTTCGGGTCCGCCATACTGCTCATAGAGATAGAGCATGAGCATGAAAGCACCGCCATAATAGACATCCCTCGTGTTTGCATAAGCGAGCGAAACACCAGGGTCTGTGAGATAACCGTCAACAAAAATAGTGTGCACATTGCCGTAAACTGCCCATTCCATAAAAGATGCTGTGCCTTCTTCTAACCACCGTTGATCGGTTGTCCCACCGTTTTGAAACCAATTGATGAGATGTGCGAATTCATGCGCGAGGCTGCTATAAAAGGTGTGTCGGGAACGTTCTCTGAACTGGAAAATATCCATATAGAGCATTTCACGACGATTGCTGTTCGGTGCTGTAGGCAACTGATCGGTCGACGAGAAGTAGCCTCCGTATTCGAGTCCTGAGTCGTTCATACCCACATCGTGCATCAACAGCGTTATATGATTGTCTCTGTCAAGTCCGGGTTTCCATTCCGTTCCCATCCACTTTCGGACGCTCGGGTAGATGCGTGTGTCAAATTCCCTTGCGATTGCGACTGCCTCAGCATCGGTGAGCATATCGCGTACCGAATTTTCGATATAGACATAGAGATGCTCACTTTTGGCGATA